AGCTTCTCAAAGCCCGTTAGAACCAAATCTGTAGCTGGGAGTGGAAGCCAGGCAGTGATGAGTGAGGCAGACCATGGGGAGCAGTCCAGAGTTCCCAGAGGGACTTAGGTTATAGTGCAGATGGAAGGCTGGGACTTGCCCTGAGCCTGCGTTTGCATGGTAGGCACCCCACTTTACTTGGGATATTTTGAAGATGCTGCTGGAGATTTGGGGGCTCAAAGCCCCCCACCAGCTATCCTGGGTGCCAACAGTGGTTGTTATCCATGGGAGAGAATCTTGGCATCTGGCTGTAGTAACCACCATCCATGCCAGGGGCTTTGCCTAGATTCTCCAGGGGGAGGAGGGAAGAGAAAAGAGGGAAAAGGAACAAGCCTGGGAAAACAGAGGAAAGCAGAGGCCCTGGAGCTGGGGGCGGGGGAGTCATTGGTATTCTGGACGCTAAGGAGTTCCTGGCTCAACAGCATTCAAGGCCCACCCCCTGGCACCAGGCAGAACATTCAGTAGACCGCCCTGGCCAGTGGACCCTTTGGGCTCCCAGCAACGCTTGCGTTTTGCACATTGGTTTGCATGACCAGTACTGTCTGTTCACCATGCCACCCATTCCCACCCCCACCAGGTCTAGAGATTTCCTGCCTCTCTTTGCTTACCCCACGGTTCTGCTGTCTAACCTCAATCCCTCCAGCTGCAAAGTCAGCTCCTTCTCTGTACAGAAAGTGGGAGCACTACAAGAGACAAAACCCAGTCAGAGTCTTCTCAGAGAGGGGGCTAACTCATCATTTGTGCCTCATCTCTGCCTCCAAAAAAGAGCTTCCCATTTTTAAGGGGGGGGGGAGTATCTCTCTTTTCAGGAGCAAAGCCGTCATTCTCCCTTCATCCTCTTCCCTACAGTCTAAGCCCGAGTCCCTCCTCCTCCTCCTTTGACCAACAGGAAGTCCCTCCAACTGTCTAACTTCCATCCCTCCAGCTGCAACACCATTCTCAAGCTGAGTGAAAGCTCCCGCCCCGCCCCGCTTGCCCTCCCTCCCTACTCCAGGTTCTCTGCTTCTCATCTTCACAACGATGTCCTACTTCGGTTGTCCTTGCTCTCGCTGCTGCCGCCGGGAACCGACGCAGAAAAGGCAGTGGGTCCCGTGACCATCCCGAGCCCCCCGCAGTCCTGGCCCGGGGGCGGGGGCGGCCCCGGGGAAGGGCGGGGCACGGGCGGAGGGGGGAAGAAAGGGGGTTTTGTGCGGCGCCCGGCCGGCCGGCGCCCTCTTCCCAACGTCCTGCGGGCCAGGCCTCTCCTGGCGCCCGCGCAGTCCCGCCGCAGTCTCAGTTGCAGCTGCAGGACCGAGCGGTGGATCCGGAGGAGACCCCCAGAGGAGGCGATAAACTTCGCAGTACCGTCCCCGAGCCCCAGACCTGGCTAGGTGAGTGCCACTGCAGCCTGGCCGCCCCGCTCGGTAGGATAGAGAGGGGAGCGGCCGCCGGCCGCCCTGTTGTCCGCGTCTCCCACTCCTCAGCCCTTGTCCCCGAGGCTCTGGAGCACCCTGGCCTGACACCTCCGAAGTCTGCTGACTCTAGCGCCTGCAGCTCTTGCTGTCTCCCGCTACATGCTCCCGGCTCTGCCGATGACCGCCCCACTGCTGCTTACAGTCTAATCAGCAGCCCCTTTTCGGGTGTGGGACCATGGGACATCCCGCTAGTCTTCCCTGCTGGGCACTCCAATCCCGGCGGCGGCGCCACCGAGATATCCGACCTTGTCCCCCGCACGGTGGTAGGGGTCCAGGTCAGCATGAGGCAGCCTGGCGGAGGACCACCTTATGGTGCTCTGCAAGGGTAGGTCAGAGCTGCAATAGCCGGTGCTAGTGTGCCAACTCCCCAGCTGGAGCCCCAGCTCTGTCACTTACTTGTGTGACCTTGGGGTCATTAGCCAATATCCCTGAACCTTGGCTTCCTCATCTGTGTAGGGAGGAAAACATAAGCGGCATTTTCCCCACAGTTGAGATATGCTTAGGAAGCATTTAGTAGGAGACCTGGCTCAGGTCGGTAATTGTCTGCCAGAATTCAGCCACCACTCCTGCTTTCCTTCCTAGCACTTCCAGGAGGCTGGGAATTGCCGCCTCATATTCCCTCTCCTACCAGAATAGCTTTGCTCACATGGTTCTAACAGGACCAAGAGATTGGCATCTCTTGTGGGCATCACTGTTATCTTTATCACTTAGGCTGCAGACAACACCAATGAGATCAGGGGACAGTATCACTGGGAGTCCCACCCAACATTCCCAGTGCCAGGGCTGATGGGGGCACACTTGGCTGTCTACAGCAGCATCACCCACATTTCAGGGTCTGTATTAGGAGGATCTGCAATAGCTCTGCTGGTGATGCTGCCAATAGTATTACTATTTGTTCTTCCGATAATAGGACTATTTATGTGGTTATTGCAGTTATTCTTACAGGCCCTAAGGCCTCCCTGATACTGTGGAGGCTGTGTTGCTCCTCACATGGCAACTAGGGGGGTAGCTAATAGCTGCCACGTGCTATGACCACTTGGCCTCCTATGTCTCCCTGCTAACCCTGCTGGGTGAAGGAGCTCAGCTCTTCCTGGGGAGGCTCTGTGCTGCCAGCTGTGGGCATTTAGACTTGAGGTGGTGGGTGGCAGGTGTACGCACTCAAGTCTGCACACGCACAGAGCCTTGGCCTTACTTCTCTGTGGATTGGAAGCCTGTGAGGGAGATGGATGTCCATAGTCAGGCAGGAATGATGATGTAACAAGGAGAAAGTTTCCTGAACAGCTTGAGAAACTCAAAACAAGAGCTGATGAGATCCAGAGGCTGAAGCAGGAAACAGAGGACTGGAGAGAGAGGGGATGAGGTGGCATTGGAGAAGAGACAGGATGACTGCTAAGCTGTAAAGGTTAGACATGGAGTGGTGTGTCCCTTACTTTAGGAAGAGAAGATGGAGTGGAGATGAATGTGGCATAGAGAAGAACACAGAACCCCAGGTCCCTGGGTTTTGAGCCTGGCGCCAAATAAGGGGTGCCTGCATTCCTGTAGGGCTCCTGGCTGCACCCAGGCAGGGCTGAGGCTAGAGCTTGGTATTATTGAAAGCAGAAAAGGGACAGCTTTCAGAACTGCATGGGGTAATGCAGTAATTCTCATCCTTGAGTGTGGGAGTGGGTTGCCCTCCATATTCCAGAGCAGCCAGGTCCTCATTGGCCTCAGACAGAACCTCTTCCCTCATTCTTCCACTGTCAGACAGAGGTGAAAGGAGTGGTTCAGGGTGTGACTCCAACTATATGGGTTTCTGGGTGGCCTGTCAGAGAGCAGTTGCAGTTCCAGGCTAGAGCAGGGGAGGGAAGGTGGCACTTGCAGCTCATGCTGGATGGTCCCCACTCCAGTCCTCCAACATGGTCCTCTCAAGTGCCCCCATACCTGGAGCTGGTTTCAGCACCTTCTGATATGGCCTGGTCAAGCACCTCCTCTCTTTCAAAGGCCAGGGAGAGGCCCTAAACATCTGGCTCAGCTACTCTTCCACCAGTTAGACCCTGAGGAAATGATGCTGAGGCATAGTGGGGGGAAAGGAGGTTACTATGGTGGGAGGCAGGGGAGCCTAGCCTAGGAGGATCTGGGAGAAGAGGGAAATTTCCCATCAGCTCTGGCTCAGGAAAGGGTGGGGGATGTATAAAGGCACAGCCTGAGAGTGCAAGGAAAATGGAGGTTGAACAGTAGGCCTGGAGTGGGAATGGGTAGCCAATGGGTATAAGCCTGATCTATAGGAATTCCTGCCTACCTTCAATTCTCCTGCTGCACCCTCAGCCTATTCCATGACAGACCTGGGTCCCCATTCTCTTCTAAATCCAGCTCAACCCTTAAAGATAATGTCAAACTCTACCTCTGCAGCCTTTCCTCCTAGGGGCACGTTGACCTGCTGCCTTTACTTGGCTTTTCTGGGGACCCAGGGTCAGCCCTGTCCCTCTCTGGGACTCAGTCTCCATTTCTCAATGTCACACCTCTTATGAGAGTGTTAAGTGCTTTGAGATCTTTAGAGGAATATTCTGGGTTCTAGAGCTTCTGATAGCCAGGAGTAGGAGGGTGGCTCCTCCCACTTATTCTCACCCTGCTTAGTTCACCCCCCAGCCCACAGCTTTCACAAAAGGTGGAGTGGGGGAAGGGAGAGACTGGACAGAGGCCAGACTGGCAGAGACAGGGGCTTTGTCCCAGCTGGTTTCTGAGCCAGGAGATCCGGTGGGAAAGCCCGTGCCAGGCAGAAAGGGAAGGCTGGGAGGGACAAGGGAGGAGGCAGCCAAGGAAGGGGGTGGTGGAGAAGTAAAGAGAAGAGTTTCCTTATAAGTAATGATGGTGGGGAGGAGACAGCGGAGAGGAAGGGCTGGGGAGTTATGCATTGCCTGGGTTCAATCTAGGAGGCCCCCTGGAGGAGGCCTGGAGTGGGAATGAGCAGCCAGTGGGAATGAGCCTGGTCTCTGCAGATGGCCAGGTGGGTGTGGTGCCCAGGAAGGAAGGAATGGTAGGGTACAATGGGAGAAGGAGGCTCTGGGTTCAAGGAAGGAGTCTGGTACTGGGGGGCAGTAATATCAACTTCCTAATATCAACAGCACCCACAATTCATGCTATAAGCATTTGTTGAGCTCCTATGTGTACCTGATGCTGTGAATTTGTAGGATTTTTAAGGATAGAAAACACTCTCAAAATGCATAGTCTCATCACAACTTGTGAGGTGGTAGGAATGGTGCTCTTTTACAAGTAAGAAAAGAAAGTCCAGAGAGGCCAAGGAACCTGGCTAGGTCGCACAATGAGTTGACTAGGACCCAGGTCCTGGCTCTCAGGAGGAATCTGTTGGTGGGGAGACGGGGATCAGAAACAGAGTCCGTAGTGAGATGGGGCAGTGGACTTCTGAGGCCAGAATATGTACAAACCCATATGGATTTGTAGGAAGCCAGGGGAAGTCCACCCTGAAGTCTAACCCTGCCTTTTCTTCTCAAGTCCCTCCCTAGCTGCAGCATGGTTTCACTCCTCCTGCCCCTGCTGGTAGCCCTGGCCCAGTTCCCTGCAGCCTTAGCTGATTTCTTAGAAGGGGACAGCTCAGGTAAGCAACCCCACTTAGGCTGTCTGTGTCCCCTGTCTCTGTCCCCTGCATCCCCAGTGGTAGGGGCTGGCCTCTTCTTCAGCCCTAACCAACTGCTTCTAGTCCTGGGAGACCCCAGGAGGAGACAGACATGGGAGGACTGTGGGAAAGGAGTCCAGGCTAGAACACTCGGAAATAAGGGCTGAGCTGTGGGCCTCTGGTAGGGTGGAGAAGCCTTGGGATTAAGGCTTGGAGGGGGGGACTCAGTCCAAAGCTTTGGATCCCTAGGGGAGAGGATGAGGGACCCTGGAGCCAGGACCAATGGAGCTGGGGGGAGGAAAAGGAGTGGAACTGGGAGAAGTTCTGAAAGAGGCTCGAAAGGGAACAGACTGGGAAACTTAAGAGCAGGGCTGGAGAACCTTGGGGTGTGGCCGAAGGATCCCGCTGCGAAACTGGGAGACTCTGGGAGCAGGGCAAGGAATCCCGGTGGTAGGATTGTCTGGGAGACTTTGGGAGATATGTCAGCAGATCGTGGGGATGGGCCTGGAGGACCTAAAGAAAGGGTTGCAGTACCCTGTCCCGGGATGGGGTCCTGAAGGGCCCAGGGGAATCCTGAGGCAGGATTCCGACTCCACTGGGTGGGACCTCGCGGGCCTCAAAGCCACCTTCCAGCCAGCTCCGCCCATCCACAGAGGACCGTGCCTTCCGCGTGCGCATTGGCGGCGACGCGCCACTGCAGGGTGTGCTGGGTGGCGCCCTCACCATCCCGTGCCATGTGCACTACCTGCGGCCGCCACCGAGCCGCCGGGCGGTGCTGGGCTCTCCGCGGGTCAAGTGGACCTTCCTGTCCGGAGGCCGGGAGGCGGAGGTGCTGGTGGCGCGAGGAGTGCGTGTCAAGGTGAGCGAGGCGTACCGCTTCCGCGTGGCGCTGCCTGCGTATCCTGCGTCGCTCACCGATGTCTCCTTGGCGCTGAGTGAGCTGCGCCCAAACGACTCAGGCATCTACCGCTGCGAGGTCCAGCATGGCATTGATGACAGCAGTGACGCGGTTGAGGTCAAGGTCAAAGGTAAGAGGGCAGGGATAGAGGGGGTTGGGGTGGGGAGGACTCTTGTTCTCTGGGAGCCCACAGTCTGAGGGGGAAAGTAAATGCAACTGGAAAGCACAGACTGAGTTGGAAAAGGAGCAAGGTGACAAGGGCTTTAGTTACCTCCTTTTTTCTTTAGGTGGAGGAAATTCTTCTCACAGTCTAACTTAAGTCCCTCATGCTATAGAGTGAGCACAGTTTGGATCTTACCCTTTGTGTGCAGGGGAATGACACAGGGGTGAGGGGAGGTCAGAATACCTGGCGGTCACCTAGCTCAGGAGTGCTCTCTGCCCCTCAGGGGTCGTCTTTCTCTACCGAGAGGGCTCTGCCCGCTACGCTTTCTCCTTTGCCATGGCCCAGGAGGCCTGCATCCGGATCGGAGCCCGCATTGCTACGCCAGAACAGCTCTATGCTGCCTACCTTGGGGGCTACGAACAATGTGATGCTGGCTGGCTGTCGGACCAGACTGTGAGGTGGGCTGGGGTTGTGCCCTAGGGCTTCCATTTGCTCCCTAAGTGGCTGTGGCCTCCCAGTCTAGGCATACAGGGCTCGTTTCCTCTGGGGAATGAGGTTGGTCTGAGGAAAGTAGTAAGGACCCTACCCCAAGGGACTGCATCCCTGCAGAGGTGGGAGGACAGCCAGGCTATCAGCAATTGGCTACACTGAGAGGGCAGTGTGGTTCAGTAGGGTCTGTATGGACAGCTTCCTGTTGATGGCATCTGTACTGAGTCTCTGCCCTCCCTCCCCAGGTATCCTATCCAGACCCCACGAGAGGCCTGTTATGGTGACATGGATGGCTTCCCTGGGGTCCGGAACTATGGCGTGGTGCATCCAGATGACCTCTATGATGTCTACTGTTATGCTGAAGACCTAAATGGTGATTGGGAGTGAAAGGTTCCCAGGGGGCAATCCCCTGCTCCAATACTGCCCTCAGGTCCTCTCAGGACTTCTGCCAGACCTTACTGTCCCTGGTGTGTTTAAGAGGGCAGGCAGGAGTAGGAGAAGATTGGTGCCTCTCCTTCCAAACACTGTTATGGAGGCAAGTTCATGATTGAAGCTTCACACAGGTGTTCTTCTGCTGCCTGCTAGGTGGACTCAGGACTCTGTGCAGAATGGGCAAGTTAAGCCAGGTTCCTTTGAGCTCTAATATCCATCTTGAGGTTCTATCCAGACTTTGATCCTATATAGGAAGGTAGTTGACCCCAAGTCACAGATGAGGAGACGGGGGCCTGAAGATGGTTACCCAGGATTCCTGAGGAAGCCCAGGGTAGAAGGGGCTACCAGCTGCCTGGTAACCTGCCTCCTCTTCCTCACCCAGGAGAGCTGTTCCTTGGTGCCCCTCCAGAAAAGCTGACATTGGAGGAAGCACGGGCATACTGCCAGGAGCGGGGTGCAGAGATTGCCACCACGGGCCAGCTGTATGCAGCCTGGGATGGTGGCCTGGACCGCTGTAGCCCAGGCTGGCTGGCTGATGGCAGTGTGCGCTACCCCATCGTCACCCCCAGCCAGCGCTGTGGTGGGGGTCTGCCTGGTGTCAAGACTCTCTTCCTCTTCCCCAACCAGACGGGCTTTCCCAACAAGCAGAGCCGCTTCAACGTCTACTGCTTCCGAGGTGAGCTGGCTCTGTCTGGAGGTGAAGACCAACCTCAGGCAGGGCTGAGCCCTGAAAATCTTACCCCATCTCTGACAAGTTTCTCTCAGGTTTCTGCCATTTGCCTGAAAGAGTCTTGGGTGATGCCCAGTTTGTCCTCTGGGGTTCTAATTCTGGGCACACCCCCCTGGCTTGGTCTCTGCTGTGTGGCCTCAAGGGTGGTCACCTCTCTGCCTCTCCTTATCTGCCTCCCCCTTAGTAGTCTCTGCCTTAACTCTCCAGATCCCAAGCTGCATCTCCATACTGGGCTGCTGAATTAGTTCCCATTTCCTGTCAGCTTCCTGGCAGCACAGTGATGACTGACATCCTCTTAGACCAGTGGTTCTCAACCTTCCTAATGCCGCAATGTATTTTCATTGTTAAAAAGGGGTCCTGACCCACAGGTTGAGAACTGCTGTCATAGACCAATGAATGATATGCTCAAGTTCTTTAGTAGCTTTCAGGGTTCCAGAACCTGCAACTTAAAGGTGTCAGAGCTTTAACCACCGCAACTCCTCTGAGGGGAACAAGACCTCAAGTGCAGCTGAGTGTAGAGATGGCTTCCTGTTCACATCTTACATATTGGGAGCTGGAGGAGAGGCAGTGCCTGGGACCCCCAGAGGCACAGGGCCAGGCCAAGGGTGACTGACAGTCAGGGGCTATTCCCATATGGGGTGTCTGGTCCTTGACCCATTTTTGAGCCTGTGGTACTGGTACAAGGGCTTCAGGCAGAAATGAGAGGACAAGACGCTGCCTTTACCCTTCAAGAGCATCTCTTCTGAAGGGGGAAGACATAGCTTTTGCCATGGGAGCTCCCCATCTAAGGGAAGACAAGATACCCCACTCCCAGGATGAGGAGAGACTGAGAGAAAAGCATTGCTTCCACTGGGACAATCTGTGGACAATCCCCAGCCATCCTTGGTGTCGTGCTGGGGAGGGTGAGGAAGCACTGTTTGTAGGGGTCCATCTGAAAAGGCTTAATGAAACAGGGATAATAATAATAATAACTAGAGCTTCTATGCACTGGTATGGTCATGTGCCAAGCACTATTCTGTGAGGATGGAAGGAGATGAGGAAGAAAGGGA